CTTGTCCCAGCATTTTCACACCAAATCATTTAAACTGTGTAGTCACTAACTTCCCAAAACATCACCCCAAAGATCTGATGAGGAAGGTGCAGCAGACTGGCTCCAGACCCTTGAAGGCACATCATATACTCTGTAACACCAAGACCCTCAGAGAAACCCTCAAGTGTGTCAGAAGCATTTCAGAGCACACTCTCGGATAATACACAAGTCTTCCCTTAACTGCTTGTAATTTCCCTAAGAATACTACTTGGGAACTGGATTTCTATTTTATTTTAGAGACATCATCTCAGTATCTTGTACATGCTGGATTTGAGCTTCTGTGTTCAAGCAATCCTCTTGCCTTAGCCTACTCCTTCTATAGCCAGGAACAAAAGATGTATGCAGGTATAAGGAGGGCCCCTTTCTCTAGTTATATAGGTCCCTACCACCACTATAAAACTCTCTGAGAACAGGAATTTATGAAAACACCACTATTACAGCAGATAGTGCAATTCCAGGTGCAGGAAGAGAGGGAAGAATGGCCTACCAGGCAGTGAAGGTCTTCTGTTTATCCAGCATCCTTTCTTAGAAATATGAAAGGTTTCACTATTTTAAAAATTATAGGTTTTGAGCCAGGTGTGGTAGCCCATGCCTTTAATCTCAGCACTCGGGAGGTAGAGGCAAGCAGATTGCTATGAGTTCGAGGCCAGCCTGGTCTACCAAGTGAGTCCAGAACAGCCAGAGCTACACACAAAGAAACCCTGTCTCGAAAAACCAAAACAAAACCTATAGGTTTCCCCTAATGATACCTTCCAAAATTTGAAGTACTAAAACCATGCATCAAATAATTAGCAAAAAGACTGAGTTCTGCATGTAGCTCAGTGGTAGAGTATGTGCCTAGCATGTCTAAGGCCCAGGGATTGATTCCTAGTACTACAAGAAAATACAGAAATAAAATAAAACAAAAAAAAATATTAGAAATAACTAGCAAGATGGGATGCTGAAATGACTCAGTGGGCAAAGGTGTTCACCACAAAAACCTGACAATCAAAGTTTGAGCTCTGGAATGTACATAAAGGTGGAAGGAGAAAACTGACTCTACAGAGAACTATCATCAGAGAACTGTGGCATACACAGTAATAAATAAAATTTTAAAATATGATTATTAAGAAAATAATTTGCAATTAACAGGTACTTTGAAACACTTTTGCTAAAAAGCACCAACTCCTAAACCAGGGACCACACAGTAACCAAAAGCAGACAAAAGCCTGGTATTTCCTGGGTTCTTTCTGCATATCCCCTTTGTCTTTAAGACTCTGGGTCCCTCAGCTGCTTAATTCTGGGTGAAAATAGGTCAAATCTTCAAGGAGTCTGTCTACAAGCTGATGATAGCTAACCCATTTCATGTTCATTCAAGGCCAAAGGCACAAAGAGTAACTGAGGCATCTTACTGTCAGCTTTGCCAATGGCCTGCTCCAAACCCACAGAAGGCGCCATAAGTCTCCACTTGCTCTAATCCCACAGACAGATGACCCCCTGATGAGATCGCCCTCCCGGCAGAATGCTCATCTCAGGGTAACTGGACTGTCATCTCACCACCTGGCAGAACCAGAACTGAGATAATGATCAACCAGACCACACTGTGACCACGACTACTTAACTATGCATACCTCTTGCCCCTAGCTAATTCTGTTTAAACCTAAAGCTCATGTCAGTGCCCCAAAGTCGGGCTTAAATGCTTACTTTTTATCTCCCCTAATTAGGGCCATTTTGATTATACTCCTTTCATGCCCTCCCATACTTCTGAGAAATCCTGAAACTGGCTCTGTAGACCAGGCTGGCTTTGAATTCAGACACCTGCTTGCCTCTGCCTCCTGAGTGCTGGGATTAAAGGATCAAAGGCATACACTTCCATGCCTGGCTTGTTTGCTTTCTCAAGGGCCAAGCGGCTGTACCTGGTATGCTGAAACCTACAGTTGGTCCTCTGGCCTAGGACTCTTGATTACAGGCATATTCCAAAATAAAGAAAAGCCTAGACACTAAAGAGTGGGGCTATAAATAACAGAAAGATTGGGGTGCAGAGCCTGGCGAGCTGCAACACTTCCCAGATCTAAGTGAAGGCCAGACTGAGAGACTCAGGAAGGGTAAGGGCATGCTGAGAGTCTTGCAGCCTTTCAGTGACATACAAAACACCTGCAACAGTAGCCTCAAAGGGTAATGAAAAGAATGACAGAGCTGACTCGGAACTGGTCTAATCCTTCTGCAGATGTTCAGAAAGAAACCACTCTGGTTGGAAGAGCCTCTGGTTAGTGGCTGGGTCTCTAACCCCTGTGGCTCCACCACAGGGCTAACCAAGTCAGTGGCGAGTAAAGAGTCACTTACTGCTCCCTCCTCTCATCAGGTCAGGTCAACCTGAAAAGAAACTAAAGTATTTAAAGCCAGGCACATAGAAAACACAGATATGAAGTGAAGAGACAGAGGCAGTGACCATGGCCACTTATTGTCTCCAGGCCTCTAGAACTCCTCTTCCCAGTTCTCTCTTGCCAAGCTACAGGCCTATCAGAGATCTGAAACACACACACACCACACACACACACACACACTTCTTTCACTGAACAAATACTACACATCAGCTCATGTACACATACACATAATTCAACCAATTCTCCTCATAATTTCCTAAAAACCTTTTCAAAGGTGTTAGGGACTCTGTGTATGTATTGTATCACCATCAAAGAGTTTTTACTTATAAACACATCAACCACCAAAGTCTGGTTGGGGACACACTTAAGTAATCAATGTCAAATAAACTAAGAGCTTTCTTTTTTTTTTTTAATCTTATTTTTACTTATGTTCATTGGTGTTTTGCCTGCATGTATGTCTGTTTATGAAGGTGTGAGAAGCCCTGGAGCTGGAGTTACAGACAAGTGTGAGCTGACATGTGGGTGCTAGGAATTGAACAGCCCAGTCTTACCGGCTGAGCCATCTCTACAGCCTGTGCTTTCTTCCAAATAAGAGACTGTATACCTGCCTAAAAGACTGAGTGTCTTAAGCTTTCTATTGCTCTGATAAACACCATGGCCAAAAGCAACTTGGGAAGGAGAAAGGGTTTATTCTATCTTATACTTCCAAGTAACAGTCTACCCCTGAGAGAGGGCAGGAACCTGGAGGCCAGGACTGAAGCAGAAGCCCTGGAGGAACACTGCCTAAGGGCTTGCTTCTCAGGGCTTGCTCAACCCAGAACCACCTGCCTAGGGATGGCATACCATACCACTCCCTGTCCCCTTGGGCTGGATTTGCCTACATAGACCATTAATCAAGAAAATGCCAAACAGACTTGCCTACTAGCCAATGTTATGGAGGCATTTTCTCAATTAAGAATTCCCCCTCTTCTGGGGGCTGGAGAGATGACTCAGTGATTAAGAGCACTGTCTACTCTTTAAGGACCTGGGTTCAATTCCCAGCATCCACAAAACAGCTTACAACTGTCTGAAACTCCATTTTCAGGGGACCCAACACTCCCACAGAGACATACATATAGGCAAAACAGCAATGGACATAAAAAAAAATTAAATAAAGAAATAAATAAAACGTTAAAAAAATTTCCTCTTCCAAGATCTATCTAGGTTTGTGTAAACTGACAAAACCAACCAGCACATTGAGACTTTGGAACTTGCTAACGATTCACAAAATATTTTAATTTATTCTAGATCTTTCCCTGAAAAAAAAAAAAAAAAAAACAAAAACACGAGAAAGTGAACATCACGGCCTTCATAAACAGGCCGCTAAAAGTGGCCTCAAAGTGTAGAGTCAAACTTGTAGCTTCCTCTCAAGTCTGGTTAGCGTGGAATTAATTCATGCCTGAAACTATGCTAGTCATAAAACTTTCAAAAAAAAAAAAAAAAACCCTCAACACTAAAATTTCCCTAGTCTTAATTTTATCACCACGATATAAGGGAATTTTTTTTTTCTTCCTACAAAGTCACAAGAATGCACTTGCCTGAGCGGACTGGTGTTACGAAGCCAAAAGCCAGAAGTCTCTTTTTTTTTTTTTAAACTGCACTTAATCTTATCCTAATTAACTTCAAAACAAATGACTTCCTTTTTTCACAAACGCCAGAACAGCGACGGCAGCTCCTCCGGAGGCTCCGAACTGCGGGGACTAGAAAAGACGCGCACGAGCCTCGTGAGAACCTCCCCACACACAGAGCGAGGACCCGCAGCCATCCAAGCCGAGGCGAGCGGGTCGCACCAAAAAGGACAAAAGGAACAAAAATGACGGCAGGTACTGCGACTGCGGAGCCAAGGCGTGAGTTAAGTTTGCGTTCGTTAAGCCTCGGCGGACAGACCCAGGAGCTCGCGCTGCAGCCAGGCACCCAGAAGCGCGACACCGACCCCATGTCACCGCCGCGCAGCCTGCCGGCGCCCCTTCCCGGACACGCGCGCCGACCGGCACCGGCTTGGGGGCGCCACGACGTGGCGGGAGCCGGGCACCTGGCGAAATACCCCGCGGGGCATCCCGCCGCCGCTCCTCTCCGCGGCCTGGGCCCGCGGGCGGCGCGAGGCGCAGCTGTCAGAGGCCGGGCCGGGCGCACCCTCGGGACTCAGCCCCCGCCCGGCCCACCGCGCACGGACAATGGCGCGGTCCCCGACCCCTGCGCGGCGCCGGCCGTCGAGGACGCCGCTCAAGCGTCCCGCGCGCACTCACCTGAGGCGCCGGCTCCGCGCGGCGCAGCGCGGGCCCGCGGGCTGCGGACAGCGCGACGGGCGCGCCCATTCATTAGCCGCTTTGTCTGCCCCCGCCGCCCCTCCCGCCGCCCCAGCCCCGCCGCCCGCGACGCCGCCGGACGCTGCGCCCCTCCCAGGGCCCCGCGCGGGTCGGGGGCGGGGCCCGGGGCGGGGCTGGGGCGCGCAAGCGCAGTCCGTGCGCACCTGCCCCTCCTGGGGCTGGGCCCAGAGGACCGCTGGATGGGCCGGGGCAAGGCAAATGGGGCGGAGGCCGCGAAGACGACGCAGGCGCAGTTTCCTCTCGCCCCCCCCTCCGGAGGTCAGGTTACGCCGGCGCAGGCTCACATTCTGGGCAATGTCGCCGGCCTCTGCGTCAAACCACGCAAGCGCGGTCCGGCGCACCTGACCCGTCAGGCTTTCGTCCGAAGACTACGCAGGCGCAGTCGCCGCGGCGGTTGCTTAGACTAGCTGCACGGTCGGGAGCGCGCGTCCATCGCGGTTTCTTCTCAGGGCTTGGCCGTTACTGGTGGTCCTGCGCTCTCCCAACGGCTGGCCGCGGGGTTTCCGGGCTGTGGTCGGGGCGTGCGCGCAGCTTCTTTCGGTAGACTGTGGGTGGAGGCTAGACGCAGCAGGTGGTAGCTGCGCAGAGCCTGGGCCCTGTTTGGGTAAAAGAAATAAGGAGTTTCAAATTCCTGTGCGGACCAAGTTATCTCTGCAAGTGGGATTTGGCCCAGAGGGCTTTCTATGCAGACACTGTGGACCACAGCTTGTCATTTTATGCGGAAGTTCTGTCCCACACTCTGCTGTCTTCTGTCATGCTGTTTTGGACTAGTTTCTTCTGTGATTTAGGATTATAAACCCAGATGAGGGTCACAGGTTGAAGCAACTGATTCACGGCCACTGGTCAATGAAGATGGTTTGGAATTCCGTGTCTAAGGTTCAAAGACAAGGCCTGAAGGGAAGGTGGTTGGGCTGCCAGTGCTCCTCAGATGGAACTTTTGGCCATCGTTGGTCTGGAACCCTGAGCCTACCTTATTTATGTCTTCTCTCTCTGCCTTTTATTCAGGGTATCTGATGCCTGTGGTTGAAGGTGGTGGCTGCATATCAGTCTAGATGGGGAACACCCCAGACATGCTTGGGTGGAGGTTTTAGCTAGCAGGTTCCCTACTAATCTACCTCTCAATGTTGTCCCCCGCTTGCACATCACTCCACACCTCATGCAAAAGGTAACAGGGATCCACCTCTTCTCTTATAGCCGGAGGGACAGATGGGACAGAACTAGCTTCAGGAAGGATTTCAGAAGCCCCAGGAAAACAGTTCCAGAATAACAAATGAAATAATTAGGAGAGAGTATGAACATTTGCCCACGAGGACTCAGCCCAGCAGGAGGTCTCAATTGGCTTGTTTGTACAGCTTCATACTAAACCACCTAACTAAACTCTTTCAGTCCTCCTAGCCCTGCCCAAGCTGTGCAGGGGAACAAAGAAAAGGGAAGTGGAAGAGAAATGAGGCTACTTGCCTGGTGTGCAAGGAACAAGCTTCCCCTTCTGTGTCTTGTGTAGTGTCAAGATGTCCAGGGTTTTGGAGGGCTAGGACATATTTGCATGTCCATAGGGACCCTAAGAGGCAAAGACCAGACAAGAGTTGATGACATTTGAAATCCTTCTTGGTTCTTATTTGTTATGTTAGAGTGAGGCAGTGGGTCCAGTAACGGGAAGGAGGATGCTACGGGCAGAGCATCAGCCCTTTGAGAGTGACTGTCCCTGAGAAGGGGAAGAGCAAGCAGAGCACTGTTTGGTTAGCCAGAAACTAGTTTTGTTTCGACATGTGCCTGTATGCATACCCGATTTCCAAGAAGATTGGAACCTTAGCATAGGAACCCCCTTGGGTCCTGGGGGAAGGGTCTAGTCATGACCTCTTACATCTCTGCTCTCACAGAACCACCCAACAGAGAAGAGTCTGTTGCTCCAGGGTTCAGAAAGGAAGTGCCTGCTAGGCTTCCTGTATGAAGAAGTGTTTGCTTCTATATGATCAAGAGCAGAAGTCGAGGCCCTTGTTTCCAGGTATGAAGGAGCCCCAAGGGTGTTCACAGTCTGCTCCAGAATGGCTGTCTTGATCCCTAGGATCTTGGAGCTACACCAGTGGTCACTAAGTAGTCTGTGAACATATTGATGACTTAATAGGAGTTATATAGGTGCTGTATCGGTTGCACTTCTCATTGCTGTAATCAAGTACTCTGACAAAAATAAGGCAGGAAGAATTTATTCTGGCTTACAGTACCAGGGTGCAGTCCATCTTGGCAGGATCTTGAGGCAGAAACCGGCTTTGTTGTGACTTATGCTTGTGTTTATGCCCAATTTCCAAGAAGATTGGAACCTCAGCATAGGACCCCCCTCGGGTCCTGGGGGAAGGGTCTTGTCACTTTGCATCTGCAGTCAGGAAATAAAGACCAATGAATTTGAGTGTTTAGCTAGCTTCTTTCTTTTTACTTAGTCTGAGACCCAAATCCTGGGAATGTTGCCACCCTTTTTTAGGGTAGGTCTCCCTACTCAATTAACCTAATCAAGATAATCTGTCACAGGCATGCCCAGAGGCTATCCTAAATTATTCTTCAGTGTTCCTGGAGGCTTTCTTCATGGGCAGGTGTAGGTCCTATCTAAGTTGACAACACTGACCATTACAGATTTTAACAGGTTTTGCAGGCACCAACCAAAACGTGAGCATTGAACTCTGGCTGGGATACTGACCTATGCTGGGCAGGGAGTTCTAGTTTACTTGCTCCCTGTCCCAGTCCTCCTGCTGAGAGTCAGTGAGGCCTTTATTTCCCATCTGAGAAATGGAGCAGGCTGGGAAGAGCTGTATCCATTACAGCTCCCTGCCCTGACTGTACACCAACCCTGTCCGGGGGCACCACAGTGGTCAAACCACCTTTCTAATTGAAGGGGTTGAGAGTCCAGATAACAGGAAGGGGTGCAGGTCTTCTCACTGGAGAGGTTCTTGGGCTAGATGTTTCAGGTTCTTGGCCCCTTGTTCAAGAGTGAAATAAAGAGGCTAGAGACCTCTTCCAGAAGTCATGAGTTCAATTCCCAGCAACCACATGGTGGCTCACAACCATCTATAATAGACCCTGATGCCCTTTTCTGACATGTTGGTGTGCATGCAAATAGAGCACTCATATACATAAAATGCATAAACAAATCCTAAAGAGTGAAATAAAAGAACATCCTGAGTGAGATATCCTAGAAGCAGACACATGGTATATACTCACTTATAAGTGGATATTAGACATATAATATACATATATAACATACATGTATAATATAGGATAAACATAACTAAAATCTGTACACCTAAAGAAGCTAAGCAGGAAGGAGGACCCTGGATAAGATGTTCAATCCTTATTCAGAAAGGTAAATGGGATGGACATCAGAGGAGGAAGAGAACAGGGAACAGGACAGGACCCTACCACAGAGGTAAGACTGAAAGACTCTACCCTACAGGCCTGCAGGGTATTAAAGCAGAGGCTGAGACTCATAACCAAACTTTGGGCAGAGTGCAGGGAATCTTATGAAAGAAGGGAGAGATAAAAAGATCTGTAGAGGACAGGAACACCAGAAGGAGAGGAAAAAAAAAAAAAAAGAAAAAGATCTGGGCACAGGGGTTCTTTCTGAGACTGATACTCCAACCAAGGATCATTCATGGAGACAACCTAGAACCCCTGCACAGATGTAGCCCATGGCAGCTCAGTATCCAAGTGGGTTCCCTAGTAATGGGGACAGGGACTGTCTCTGACATGAACTCAGTGGCCTCCTCTTTTGATTACCTCCCTGTGAGGGGAGTGCAGCCTTACCAGGCCACAGAAGAAGACAATGAAGCCAGTCCTGATGAGAACTGATAGACTAGGATCAGAGGGAAAGGGAGGTGGACCTCCCCTATAAAGTGGACTTGGGGAGGGGCATGAGAGGAGATGAGGGTGGGAGGGAGGGGACTAAGGAGGAGGCTACTGCTTGGATATGTAGTGAATAAACTAATAAAACAATAAATTTTAAAAAGAGTGAAATAAAAGTCCACATAGATTATAAAGTAGCAAAGAAAATATTCAAAAAATAGAACAGTTCACAACACATTGCAAGAGAATAGTGGACCACATGAGTGAAGATACTCATTAAAAATGTATGAGTGTTTTGCCTGCATGTATGTCTATGCACCACCTCATAGAGGCCAGAAGAAGACCTGAAATCCCTTACAACTGGATTACAGATGACTGTGAGCTTCCATGCGGATACAGGGAATCAAAATGGGGTCCTTTGCAAGAGCAGCGAAGTGCTCTTTGCTTCGAAGCCATCTGTCCAGCCACAGGGCTTCCTTTTATGGAGCTTAAGGAGTTTGGTTACTAGGGATCTGTAGCATTGTTCTTTATTTTGACAGACCGAGTCATAAATTTTAATGCTGTGCATGTTCTTTCTCATAGTGCACCTGATTTTAATCATATGCACACCCAATTATGCATAGACTTTAGATAGTAAGTAGATTCTCCTTAAAAGTTCATTTAGAGGAGACACTATCTGTATCCACATATTGAGAATATGTTTGTCAATGATAGTCCTCAAGGGGAAGAGAAACATTCCATTGTTCAGAGTGGAGTATGTTTGTAGCTGAATACAAATGAGAGTCCTAGGTTGCTAACAAGTTGTTGGGTACAGTGCTCAGAAAGGAGAGTGTGTGTGTGTGCGTGTGCGTGTGTGTGTGTGTGTGTGTGTGTGTGTGTGTGCGCGCACACACGTGTGCACATGCGATTCTAGTACATACAGGTGAGAGTCCTAAGCTGGCAAATGCATTATGGAAGGGTTGTGTAGAGAGTCTAAACCAAGTAGAGTCCCAGGTTCCTAATCTATTCCCTATGGTTGCCTGTCTCAGTGGGATGCTGGCTGGGTTTGGAGCCCCTTTCTGGGGACCGGTGGCAAAGTATGTATGCAGGTGATGGGGATATGTTTAGACAACCACTGGGATGTTATGGAGGCAGTGAGAAACCATCCACAGAGACCACTGAGATACCCTAAATGATAAAAATGGGCACCACTTGAAGAACTACCTTGGGAGAAAGTTGGAGATCAGTGCCTAGAGAGGCTGCTAAGCTCAGGTGAGAGGGAACTTGTGGAATGAGAGCTTCCTGTAGGAGTTAGGGACATACATAGGTTATAACAGTGAGTAGCACCATTTGACAAATGGGTGGAATGCAAATACTTTTCCTAGCTGTAGCTTACCTTTTTAGACCCTTGTAGGGTCTTGTGTGGAGCAAAAGCGTTCAACTTTGGTAAAGGTTGCATTTATCAATGTTTCCTTTGAAATCATAATTTTCACATTCAGTTTAATAAATTGTTGCTTAATTTTAGATCCCAGAGACTCTCTACTAGTGCTTTTTGGAAAGAATATAGACTTTAAATCCTTGGTCTGAGGAGGTAGTGGTAGATGCCTTTAACCCTAGCATTTGGGAGGCAGAGGGGCAGGTAGATGGATCTCAGAGTTTGAAATGTTGCAGGATATTTGATGCTGTTGTGAACCCTGAAACTGTGAACTGTAAAAACCTGTTTCTAATTGTGGAATGGCTCAGTCTTTGATCCTAGAGTTTTCTGTTTACTGTAAACAGGTACTTGTGGTGTGGCTCAACCTAAGCACACACTTTTAATCCAAGAGCTTTCTGTAAACAGGATTAAATAAAATTAACCATATACTAGCTCAGAGAAAGCACGCATCTGATGTTCCTACTCAGCTGATATCCCAGAAAAACAAAACAAAACAAAACTTTTTTTTTAAATCTAGACAGGATTTCTCTGTGTAGCCTTGGCTGTCCTAGACCTCCTTTGTAGACCAGGCTAGCCTTGACCTCCCAGAGATCTGCCTGCCTTTGCCTCTCTGCATGCTGGGATTACAGGCATGTGCCAGTGCGCCCAGTGGGAAGGCCTTTTTACTCAGTTTATGTCCCAGAAGGAAAGAGCTCTTCCTCTTCCTTATTCCTTCTTTTGGAGCCAGCCTGATCTACAGAGCAAGTTCCAGGACAGTCAGGACTACACAGAGAAATCCTTTCTCAGAATAATAAATAAAAGACCCTAGAACTTGGTAAATGCTTAAAGTGGTTGTTTGTATTTCTACAGCAAGATGGGCCATGGAGCGTGGAGAACCACCCAGAAACTCCTGGGCAAGCTAACCTGGAGCATACAGTGGAGCACCAGCAACCTATAAGAGAGACCTTGCCTCAAGTTGTAAGGCAAGAACCAACTATAAAAAGTTGCCCTTTGACCGCCACACATATGCTAGCACTTACATATACATAAAATAAAGAACAAATTTGAAAGTCGCTTGTGTCTTGAGAACTTGCTGAGCTCACTTATTTCATGAAGGTTTTTAAAGTTTTTTTTTTTTTTTTTTTTTTTTTTAATATGTCTGTGTGTTTTGCACGTGTGTGGCTTCGCTGGAAAAGGGTGGCAGGTTCCTAACTGCTGGTTACAAGCATTGTAAGCTGCCCAATGTGTGCTGGAATCTGTCTCAACAGCAAATGCTCTTAACTGCTTAGTGAATGAAAATAAGGACATGACTGCTCCCAGGTATCCAAAATGGCTGGGTGACATAAAAGAAACGAGAAGGTGAGGGAAGGGAAGCTTGGGGGCTGGGGAAGTTTACAGTGGGGGACAGGGTATGTCAGCAGCCAGGAGAACTCTTAACAGGTACTTGTGAGTAGGGACTGAGGAAACTAAAAGATTAGCTAATAGGCACTGCAAGCATAAGTTAATGGAACTATGGCTCCTCTTTTTGCCAGAGGTAAGCAAAATGACTCCTTTTAGCTAGTTGGAACTATCTTAAGGCCCTCAAGGAATCCTGGCTTTTGTCTAAATGCAGACTTTGGGAAATGAAATTTCTAGAGACCCAATACTGAGCCATCTCTCCAGCTCTTCGTTCCAGGAGGGTTTTGTTTAGTGGTGGTATTTTGTCCTGAGTGCTGGCACAAAAGGCACCAACCCCCAGCTCAGATATCTCTATTTCAGCTCCCTATATAGAGAAAATAATTTGATTTAATGCTGGGAGCTGGGTCATGGGTCAGAGCCTTGTACACTCAGCAGCATATATTACACCACTGAGTTATACTGCCAGCCAGAGGGAGAATTTAAGGAATTGACCTATGCAATTATGGAGACGTGGTAAGTAAAAAATCCAGTGAGAGAGGCCAGCAGACTGGAGTCTGAGGAAGGAGTTGAATAAAGTTCTAGTCCAAAAGCCATCTGCTGTACAACCAGAAGGAGCTGATATTGCAGAATAAATTCAAAGAAAGCCTATTTGAGAGTTCCCTCTTGTTCTTGTCTTCAGTTGTGTTCAGGCCTACAGTGGATTGGCAGAGGCCTGCCCACATTATGGAGGACAATCTCCTTTATTCAAAGCTCAGTAAAAAGTGTAAATCTCATTCAGAAACACACGAAATGATGTCTGACTGGGTATGGTGACCCAGTGTCTTAGTTACCATTCTGTTGCCGTGAGAAGACATCATGACCAAAGCAAGTCTCGGTATTGAATTGGGGGCATCCTTACAAGCCTCAGAGGTTTAGTCCATCATCAGGCTTGGGGAGCATGTTGGCATGAAGACAGGCATGGTGCCAGAGAAGTAGCAGAGAGCTTTAATCTTGATCCATAGGAGTCAAGGAGTGGGGGTGAGAAAAGAGGGAGAGAGAGGCTTTTGAAACCTCACATCCCATTCCCAGTGACACACCTCCTCCAAGGCCAGACCTCCTAATCCTTTCCAAACATTTTATCAACTGGGGACTAAGCCTGCAAATATATGAACCTCTGAGAGGATTCTCAAGCCACCACACCCAGGGACACTGATACCTATTAGCCATCATAATTTTCTTCTGAGTCACAACATCTGGGTGTTCCAGAATTTGACCTGTGTCTCCCCCATATCAGTACTATATTTGGTCTTTTCTTGACTGAATTTTATCAATTTTATTGATCATTTTTAAGAACCAACTTTTTGTTTCATTGATTTTTCTCATTTTTCAATTCCATTGGTTTCTACTTTATATTATTTCCTTCCATTCTTTTGGGTTTATTTTGCTCATCTTGGTCTAGGTTCTCAAGATGGGAGCTGTGATCTTGCATGATTACTTTAAGGTACTGTTTCTTTTTGAGACAAGTTCTTGCTATGTAACCCTAGCTAACCTGGAACTTACGATGTAGACCAGGCTGGTATGAACTTGGAATAACCCTCTTGCATCTATCTCCTTGGTTCTGGGATTATAAGTATACACAACTAAACCTGGCCATGTTTCTTTTCTTCTAAGATATGAGTTTAACATGTAGATTTCCCTATGTTCAGAGTTTTTGATATATTGTATCTTTTTCACTCAATTCAATATATTTCAATTTCCTAATGCCTCTTTTTTGTTTTATTTTGGTTTTTAATTTTACGTGGTAGAGAGATAGCTCATATAAGAGCACTTGTTGCTCTTACAGAGGGCCTGAGTACAGTTCCCAGCACCCACATGGTGTCTCACAAATGTAACTCCAGTTTCAAGGAATCTGATTCTCCCTCTTCTGACTACCACAGGTGCCACACATGGTACACAAAAATACATTCAGACAGATCACTCATATACATAAAATACAAATTAAATAAAATAAATATAATATTTTAACATTTTAGTTTTAATGTCAATGTTTATGTGGGGGTAACTGCATGTTGGGTTCAGCTGTCCAGGGAGATCAGAAGAGGATTTCCTGGAAATGGAGGTCTAGGCAGTTGTGAACCATCTGACATAGGTGCTAGGAAACTCTGCCAGAGTCCTCTGCAAGAAAGGACACTCTTAACAACTGAGCCCCTACTGTCAAACAGGATCTCACTAAACAAACCAAACTAGCCTTGAGCTCTTAGGCCTCCTGATTTCTGCATCCCAAATTCTGGGATTACAGGCATATACCACCATACCAGGCTTTGGTCATGTTTCTGTGTCATCTGTTTTATTGTTATTGTTGATTATTTGAAACAGTGTCTATATGGCCTTAGTTGGCCTGGAACTTGCTGTGTAGAACAGGCTGGACTCAAACTCGCAGAGATCTACCTGCCTAAACCTCCCAAGTGCTGGGATTAAGGGTGTGCACCACCCACCCATACTCAGTTTTGTTTTGTTTTTTTCTTTTCCAAGACAGGTTTTTCTCTGTGTAGCCCTGGCTGTCCTGGGACTCACTCTGAAGACCAGGTTGGCTTCGAACTCACAGAGATCTGCCTGCCTCTGCCTGACAACTGCACTGCCATGGAAACCACAACCAAGAGGAGCAGCCCAGGAAGTTCTCACCTACACAGAACAACTAACTCCCTGACTAAATGACAGGGAAGGCTTCAGGGAGGTGTCTGTCTCACTTACCTGTCTTGTCATTACTGCATTATTTTTTGTCCTGGCTGAAGTTGTCTTCTGTTATCATTACTTCCTCCTCGAGAGCTTCCTTCAGCTGGTTTTTCTGTGTGTGATACATACAGGTACATGCATTGGCCTGCGCGCGCGCACACACACACACACACACACACACACACACACACACACACACACACATTCATGTGTGCATGCACACATGTACAAATGTATCTGTACACATGCACAGAGACCAGAAGAGGGTCTTAGTGTCCTCTACCAATCTCTATTTCTTTTTATTTATTTTTATTAATTACACTTTATTCACTTTGTATCCCCCCCATAAGCCTCTCCCTCCTCCCCTCCTGATCCCACCCTCCCTTCCCCTTCTTCATGAATCCCCCTTCCCAAGTCCACTGATAGGGGAGGTCCTCCTGTCCTTCCTTCTGATCTTAGTCTTTCAGATCTCATCAGGAATGGCTACATTGTCATTTTCTGTGGCCTGGTAAGGCTGCTCCCCCGTCAGGGGGGAGGTGATCAAAGAGGAGGCCACTGAGTTCATGTCAGAGACAGTCCCTGTTCCCATTACTATGGAACCCACTTGGATACTAAACTGCCATGGGTTACATCTGTGCAGGGGTTCTAGGTTATCTCCATGCATGGTACTTGGTTGGAGTATGAATCTCTGGGAAGACCCCTGTATTCAAATTTTCTGGTTCTGTTGCTCTCCTTGGTAATCTCTATTTCTTAGAGACAGGGTTTTTCTGAGACCCTGGAGCTCTTGTTTTTGTTTGTTTGTTCAATCTCTGGGCTAGGCTGGACGCCAGAAAGCCTCAGCAGTCTTTTTTTCTGGCCTCAGAGCTGGGGTTTTCCAGGCATTCATGGAATGCCTGTTTGTTATATGTGGAGCTCAGGTAGGTCTCCTGATTATGCAGCAAGCACCCTAACTTCTGAGTCATTGCTCTGGTTTGTGTCTAGTATAGTTCTGCTCATAGGGCATTGTTCTATTCTTATCATTGTTCCTCTGTCAATAGAGAGTCCTTTTAGATGTTTGCTTTCAATCTGAAAGAGTTTCATCAAGCAGACTATTTGTGGTGGACAGTTCTTTTCTTGAGAAGCAGGTCTTCCTGCCCTCAATGGCTTCTGCTGAGAAGGACTGAGATTGTAGGCAGGGTGTCATCTCCCTGAGTCCACTTTGCAGATGTTTTGTCCTCAGTTCAGAAGTTTACCCATGATGCATATATCAGGCTTCTTGGAGTTTATCGAAGTTGGACCTCACTAACCTTGAATGTGCCAGTTCATGTCTTTTGCCATATTTGGGAAGTATCTATTATTGGATCTTCAAATATTTTGTCAGCTGCATGCATCTTCTTGTACTCCAGTGACACAAAACCTAGAAAAAAAAAAAACCTAGATTTATTTTTTTAACAGTCCCATAGATCCCTGAGGTTATGTTCAATTTCTTTCAGTTTATTTTCTGTCTATTGTGCAGTTGGGCAACTTTTATGATGTTATCTTCCAGTTCAGGTACCACTCCTATGTCATTTTTAATTTGCTATTGAATCTATCCAGTACATTTTTCAAAAATTTGGTTCATTGTATTTTTTTAGTTCTGTAGCTTCCCTTTGATTCTTTAGATAACATTTTTTCCTGAGCTTTTCTATTTGTTCACTTATTTAAGATAATTTGTAATGACTGTTGAAGTGTTTTTGTGATGGCTGCTTGACCGTCTCTGTCAGACAATTCCACATCTGATTCCTTTGTGTTGGCACTGATTGATGATCTCTTCCCATTCAAGTTGTGAGTTTTGATTTAAGTCATCTTTTAAACACGATTGGACAGTTTGGGTTAGGGTTATGAGACTGAATCCTCCTTAAGCCTCCCCTGTCACGTAGTCAGGGAGTTAGTTGTTTTGGGTAGGTGAGGGCTTCCTGGGCTGTTTCTCTGGGTTGTGGTTTTT